GCTGAGCTGCTAGAAGGCCATGCAGGGTGCTGCTGGAGAGCAAGGAGGGAGGGTCACAGGGAAGTCCGAGAAGGCTGCCTGGAGGAAGGTGCATCTGCGTTGAAGAGTTAGTTAGCCAGGGAAGGCCGAGAAGAAAGGCCTCACAGGCAGAGGGCAGTAGATCCGCAAAGGCCTGGAGCAGGAAGCGCACTCATATTTCACTGAGATTCGAACATGAGAGGGAGAAGTGGTGAAAGAGGCTGGAGAGGAGCCAGGAGCCAGGTCCTGGGGGGTGGAGGAGGGGGTTGGGAGCCAGGCCAAGGCTCATGCTTTCTTCTGCCAGTTCCAGGGAGCCAGCATGTGAAGGAGACTGACTGGATCATATCAGTTTAAAAGGTTCTGCTTGGAGCCAGCCCGGAGATGAGGGACTGGGGGAAGTGATAAATGGAGATTAAGGGGGGGTGGGGACTAATCGGGGAAGGCTTTGGGAGAAGTGGACAGAGGCAGTGGGCCTGGACAGAGGGCAGAGATGACAGATGGAGGCTGTCAGGCGGGTGCGGAAGAGAGAGACATGGTAGGGGCCGTGCATGGGGCCGGATGGTCATCGGTGTGGTGAGTGGCCTGTGCCAGGGAGTAAGGAAGGGTTGCTGGCCAGGTTTGGGGCTTGGGTGTGGGGTGGCCTCAGCAGGCCCTGAGGCTGTCGGCTGGCAGAACTGGGTAAGGCTTTCAGTGCCTTCCGGGGCCCCCCAGGCAAGTGAGTCAACACTTGGCCAAGTGGCTGAGTGTTTTCTAGCTTTCTGCATGTGTGGACGTGTCTCCCACTGTCCGCGCATTACGGGGAGCCCAGCCTGGGACGCTGGTCCAGACCAGAGTGATTGACTCATTGGTTGGCAGGGCCGCCACCTTCTCCCGTGAGGCAGTTAGCAGCCTTGACCTCCCGTGTACGCTCTGGGCCCTTGACCTTCCAGGCTCTCCCCATAATTCCCGCCCACCTTCCCCCTTTTTATGCTCAGGCCTCCAGCTCCATCTGACCCCTTGATGGCACAAAGTGGAGTCTCCATCGCCCATCCCCAACATATCCCTCCCAATTTCTGACATTTCAAATGGGGCAGCCTGTTGTCTCCAAAGGAGGTTGTTCTAGAGAGCCAGGCCCCCAGGTGGTGTAAGAAAAGAGGAAGACCTGGGGTTGGGCACCACTCTAACTGGCACGCTGCCTCGTTTCTCTGGCCTCAGTCTCTACATCTGTAAAATGGGGATCCCAGGGCTTATTCCACAGGGTGATCATGACACACAAGTAAGAGGGTATAAAAGCCTTGAGAAATGGGCAGTGCTGGGCGTGTGTTGGGGCCAATGACTGTTCTCTGTTTCAGGGGCCAGCCAGTCTTTTTTGTTGTTGTTGTTTTTTAATAAACATTTGATTTTAGAACAGTTTTGGGTTTTTAGCGTTATTGGAAAGGTAGTACAGAGAGTTCCCTTATACTCCATACCATTCCCCGTTACTAACATCGTATACAGGGTGGGGCACAAGTAGTTTATAGCTGTTCGTGTGGGAAATAATGCAATAATTAATAAATAACAATGCAAGAATAAACTTTCACGAATTCACAACTGTAAACCTACTTTTACCCCACCCTGTATGAGATGGTCCATTTCTCACAATTAATGAACTGATATTGATACATTAGTACAAACTGAAGTCTGTAATTATTAGTTTTCACCTAATGCCCTTTCTGGAAGTTCTAGGATCCCATCCAGGACCCCCCATTGTACTTAGTTGTCACGTCTTCCTAAGCTCCTCTTGGCTGTTGACAGTTCCTCAGACGTGCCTTGTTTTTGACAACCTGGACATTTTGAGACGTTCTAGGCAGGCATTTTGTGGCATGTTCCTCAGCTGGGGTTTGTGTGATGGTTTTCTCATGGTTAGACTGGGGTAATAAGGTGGTGTTAGGAGGAACGTCAAGCACCATTCACGTCATGACGTATCATGAGTGCATACTTGCTCTTGGTAAGACGCACTGGATGTATCGCTGTTGGCATTCACCTTGATCACCCGGGAGGTGGGTTCTTTTTGCCCTGAATACGGCAGCAGGGCCAGATTAATGTCAAATGTTGGCTGAACTAAGGCCAAGGTCAGAAAACGTGGACGAGGGCAGAAGCAAATGGAGAAGTAGCGAAGGGAAATAAAGAAAAGCAGGTACGAGGGGGTGCCACACTGTGTCTGTCAGGTACCAGTTCGCTTGGGGATGGGATGTTACATGCCAGGAAGTTCATGTGTCAGCTCATTCACTCTTCACAATAACCCTTTTTACAGATGAGGAAACTGAGGCCTGGAAGGGCAAATGACATGGTCACATGAGCCAGGGAACCTGGGGTCAAGCCTGGGTCTGTCTTGACTGCCTCAGTCTCCCAGTGTTGAATGACTACCTTGAAGCTGCATTCCCAGGACAATCAATCAAGGAAGGGGTGTTCCTGATACCGGTTGTTTCTAATTCACTTTATTCATGATAGGCGATGACTAACACACATTCAGTAAAGTGATATGCTGTAGAATGGAAAATAATATCAGAGAATATATAATGGAACATGTAGACAAGGAAAAAGCTGAACATAAAGACCAGGAAAATGCCCATAGGTGAGTTTCTGATTTGGTATGAGCTTCCTGGCAGCCAAGGAAAAAAGGGATATGGGCTGATTCCTATGATTCCTGTTATCAGAAAGCAAAGAAGCAGTTCGGTGTTTTAGGAACTTTGTGGTACATTTAAAAAGAAATTAATCACATGGAAATTTCACACGTCAAAGACACTGAGCAATGTAATGGGTAATGTAATAGTAGTAATAGATGTCATGTGGTGTCATCTTCAGGAGTGATGGCCATATTTTTACTATCTTGCCCCTTGGCCATAGTTGTCCTATTTGAATCTTACTTGATTGTCATCAAGCAACTAAAGTCTATTTCTTTGTGGAAGTCACAGATGCCTGTGCCCTAGTGAAAACCTAGGATACAAATTAGCCAGTTATCTATGTATCCGGTTCTGTGCTGGGCAGCAGGGATAGAGGGTAATAAGATGATTGCTGCTCCCCCCGCCCCCCTTTCTATCCCAGGGCTGAAGACACCTAGACAAAGGCCTGAATGGAATACAGGTGCTATGCCAGGGGCCCATCAGACTGAGGAGGAGAGGGCTTCATGGAGGAGGAAGTAGGCCAGAGATGGAAAGCAGTAATTGGAGTGGAGGACTCACAGTCTTGAGAGAGGGGATATCAGGTGCAGGTCCCTTGAGGGGAGGGACTGAGTCCTGTGTAGGGCTACCCCTCAGTTGGCAGCACAGGGCCTGACAAGCATCAAGGACTTAGTGAACTCCTGTTGAGCCCTCAACACCCACAGAGATAGATCTGGGGTCAGAGTGATAGCCACACCTGAAGGGTATGTGGAGGGTAAGCCTAGAGAGGCAGGTTTGGGCCAGATGGGGGAGTCCTTGAATGCCAAGCTAAGGAGTTTGGATTTTGTTCTTTAGAATGTGGGGATCAACTGAAAGTTTCTGAGCCTGTGTTTTGTAAGACAGTTATACAGATAATAACTGTTAACACTTAGTGGTCACTTGCTGTGTGCCCAGTACTGTTCTAAGCACTTTATCTATATTAACTCATTTAAGTATCACAACAGTCTTACGAAGGAGGTACTGTTATTATCATCCCTGTTTTACAGATGAGACAGCTGAGGCACAGAGAGGTTGAGTCACTTGCCCAAGGTCACACAGCTGGGAAGTGGCAGAGTGGGTATCTGAACTGAGGTTTGGATCTAGATCTTTCACACACTATACTATGTGTCTATTATGCAAGTATTTAACTAACATATAGCATGAGTGTGTATCAGATGACATATAAGGATTTAACAAATCTCAGCTAGTGACTGGCACTAGAGAGGCAGGAATTGGCAGGGCCCTTGGCCATCGAGGGCTGTATCCCTAAGGAGCTGAGACTTAGAAATCCACCATGAAAACAGATCGGAGGGTGTGGCCAAGGAGTGCTGGGCCTGTGAATTTCACTCCGGAGCTGCTCTTTCCTGCCTCTGACAGGCTCCGAAATTCTTTGACGATCCCCAGCCTTGGGCAAACCAACCACAAGAGCCATCAGGCCTTTGTCCTCAGAGTTACTGAGCATTTATAACTTCTCACTTCTGTTCACCCCAAGCCTTTGATTTCCACAGGGTGGGGTTTCCACAGCTGGCATGATCACACCCTCATCTGACTTTCATCACCTTCTCTGTGCAGTTGCGATGCCTCCATCCTTGGTCTCCACCAGGCCCAGATTACCGCCTGGGCTCTGTGGGGTGGGGTGGGGCAGGACAGGAACCAGCAGATCAAGGCACAGGCTGTCCACAAAGCAGAGGCTGTTCCGCTTTACCTGAAGCTCGCGGCCGGGCGTGGCACCCACAGCCACAAATGAGGCAATTAGGGAGCTCAAGTGCTGGCTGCCCTGCCAGTCAGTGCGCCCGGACTCCACAGGGTCCCCACTGAAGAAACAGCTCCCCCTTCCTCCATGAGCGTGGGACCAGGGGGCAGGACCCAGGTTCTGTGCCCAGCTCTGCCAGTTGCTAGCTGTGTGGCTGGGGTTCTCTGATGGCAGAATCATGAAGTCAGTGTGCAAGGAGTCAGTCACATCCTGGCTCCCTCGCTGTCTAGCCAGTGACTTGGGTGGGTGAAGAGGCTAAGTCCTGCCTTCTCCCTAATTCTCAGTCTTCTCATCTCTAAAGTATAGGTGCTGATTCCCACTTCACAGGGTGCTGTGGGCTCAGGACAGATTTTGTCAAGCACATAGTAGGTGTTGGGGCTCCCCCTTTACCCCTCCACTTCTCTTGTAAAATGGAAGTGATACCTGCTGAGGCGGAGGCGGAGGCTCTAGGTGGGTGTGGGGATCCAAGACAGTGAATGGAAGGCCCTGCCTGGCTCTGGGCGACTGTGGGCGGGCACAGAGATAGGGCTGCCATTGTTGCTGGAATGTCACTCACCTTCTGGAGCCTACGGAGCTCCCCCCAAACGCAGCCCGCTAAGCCATTCCCACGCCTGAGGTGGGTTCGGTTTCACTTCAGGGCCTCAGGCAGGCATTTCAGGAAGGGCCTCATCTTTTGTGTGCTGAGAAATAAACAGCTCTCCATCTGTGCGAATTGCTGCTCGGAAGGTGTGTGAACTGACCTCCTCTGAGACAGGTATGAGAGCTCCCCACGTCAGTCTGCAGACGGGACGGGCCGCAGTGGGTGGAGGGCAGGGGTGGTCTGGCCTTGGCCCCCTGGGATCAACTTTCAGCCTGACGAGATTCAGTCCCTGCCTTCAAGGTTCTGTCTAGAGTCTGAAGAGCTGTGTGCTTCCATGGAAGGAAGCATGGGGTGGGGGCCATGTGGGAGGAACACAGAGCAGGGGTCCACACGCCGCCTGGGGTCAGGGGAGGGTGGTCAGGAGAGCTTCCCAGAAGGGAATGAGATGAAGGGGGGAGCCATTGCTCCACTGCACCTGGGCAAGTTATTTCCCTGAGCCTCAGTTTTAGTGTCTGTGAAAGGGGCCAGTAATACCTGCTTCAGAGGGAAGGGTGAGAGGCTTAAGTGGGATGCTGGGTGTAAAAGAACTGACAAATACCTCACACCCCTGGGTGTCCGGGAAATAGAACCTGCTGGGCCAGGATGGGGAGATGCTTGGTGAACTGAACTTCTTCCTCAAGGGTCTTTTCCTTGCATGGTTGACACCTGTTACTTAGTGTAACCAAGTGTCCTATTTCAGAAGGAGTTCAGCTGTAACCCAGCATAACGCGAAGATGCCTGGGAGCCCTTTCTCTTGGGTGGGTAATGGGAACTCTTTCACCCAGTGAGAGTGGAGCAGAAGACTCCAGAATTAAAATTCTTGCCATAGTACTCTGCATGCCCTGCCCTTGTGCCCCTTACCCGGGTTTCCTTTGTCCTTGGGCACTGAAAAGTTAGATGCATACTGGTTTAAAGACACTGCCCAGGGCACTTGTCACTTCCCCTCCGCTTGTTCCCTCACTAACTTTAACTGTCTATTGTTCCCCTACATGATGTCAGGTGATGGGGATTCCCTGTGCCAGACAAGGTCCCAGCCCTGAGAAAGCTCTCAATTCTGGGTAGGGGGAGGGAGATAAATGAAAAAACCAAAGAAGTAATAGTAACAGACTACGAGAAATACTATAAAGGGAGCCCTGGCTGGTTTGGTTCAGCGGTTAGAGCATCAGCCTGCAGACCATGGATGGGTCGAGGGTTTGATTCCCAGTCAAGGACACATGCCTGGGCGGTAGGTTCAATCCCTGATCTCAGTGGGCTGTGTGCGCGAGGCAACCAATCGATGTCTCTCTCTCCCTCTCCCTCCCTTCCACTCTATCTAAAAAACAATGCAAAAATATCCTCAGGTGAGGATTAACAACAACAAAAATAAAGGGAAATAATGGGGTGCTTTAATATGGAATTTGAGGGGCTACTTAGGGCAGTCGGGACATTGAGGAGGTGACATTTAAGTTGAGATCTGAAGCAGGAGTTGACCATGCATGGGAGGAGTAGAGATAAGGAAAGAATGTTCCAGATAGAGGGAACATTGCTATAAAGATCTGGGTGGCCCTGGCCAGTGTGGCTTAGTTGGATGGGCACTGTCCCATGCACTGACAGGTTGCTGGTTCGATTCCCAGTCAGGGCACATGCCCTGGGTTTGGGCTTAGTCCCTAGTAGGGGCATGCAGGAGGCCGCGGATCGGTTTATCGCATCAACGTTTCTCTCCCTCTCTCTCTAAAAAATCTATAAAAACATATTAAATAAATGAATAGATAAAGGTCTGGGTGGAGGGGAGGAGATTCTTGGAAATCTGAGGAACCAAGGGAAGGCCACACAGTTAGGGTTTAGGAGAGGGAGGTGGGGAGCAGCACCAAAGTGAGGATCAGGGTGGGCAGGGGCCATGGGTGACTGATAAAGAAAGGGACTGTCCCTGTAGAGTTTTAATCAAGGGAGTGACAGGATTAGCATTTCCTTTTTTTTGTTTTGTTTTGTTTTTTATCCTCACCCGAGGACATTTTTCCATTTTTTGTTCAGGTAGAGTGGGAGGGAGAGAGAGGAACAGAGAGAGAGAGAGAAACATCAATGTGAAAGGAACACATCGAGTGGCTGCCACCCGCACGACCGACCAGGGCCGGGGACAAACTGCAACCAAGGTACATGCCCTTAGCGGGAACCGAACCCGGGTCTCTCAGGACCACAGGCCGATGCTCTAACCGCTGAGCCAAACCGGCCAGGGCTAGCATTTCCTTTTTAAAGACTCACTCTGGCTGCTGAGAGGACTCTAAGATGACAGGAGTGGAAGCCAAGAGCTGTCATTGTGGCTGTGGCCCTGGGAAGTCACCTCACCTCTGAGCCTGTCGCTTCACACACATTTGTGTTGTAAGAATCACATGGAAATGAATGGAAGTTCTTTTGGAAAAGCTGAAAAAATGTAGGGGACTCCAGGTCTCCACCTAAGTGGAGGCGGCTTTGGGAAACTACTGAGTTAGGATCTCGGGTGCAAGGGAGAATGCTGGGTGTCCAGAGTCTGTATCTGAGCACCCCACATCTGAGAGAGCCCAGTTTCCCAGCCTAGGTGAGGGCCCCTGAGAGGCCTCAGGCACGGGGGAAAGAGCACCTGCTTGAGGCTCTGGCTCCTGGGAGGGAAGTCACCTTCCCGGCTTTGAGCAGGTCTGAAGCTGAAGCCAGGTTCTTACTTTGGGGGGAAAGACACACCTTTGAGCTTGGAGGTAAGCATTGGATTCCCCTCCAGCCGCCCAAAGGTACACACACCACTTTGTCTTTCTATGTCGGGAGTTCTCTGGAATTTTCTGAAATCATTCATGAACTCTGGCTTTAAGACCCTTGAGCTAGAGGAAGGGGGAGGTACTGTCTTTTTTATTCTACCTCTTCTTTCCCCTAATGTTTGCAGCGCAGACGGGGAGAGCCCGTGCCGCACCTCAGGGCCAATGGTGGGAGGAACCTGCATCTGAAGGGGGCCAAATTGGGGGCGCCGTCCTCACCCTGAGTCTTGTCTCTGCCACCGGGGGTTACTGAAGGGGGCACTTAAGGTTTCTTACAAGGAGAGGTCGCTGCGAGGCCCCTTCCGGCGGGGTAGGGGCTGGCCATGCCCTGACCCCTGGGAAAGGGAGGTGTCCCCGGGACGGGCCCTGGGGGGCTCCTGGGGGGCCCGGAGGGAACCTGAGCCGAGCTGATCAGGCTCCGCCTGCGAAGGTGGCGCAGTGCCGGCGGCCGGCCCGCCCAGACCGGCCTGGGGCGCAGCGGCGGCAGCGATGGTGGGGACTCGGGCGCACGGGGCGCGGCATGCCGAGCGTGTGGCCACTGGATGCATTGGCCACAGCGCCGTCCGTGCTGGGGGTGAGGGCCGCGTTGCCACAGCACAGGGTGGGGGTGGAGGCGGGACCCCCTCCCCCACGGCGGGCTGGTCGGTGGGCTGGTCTCGGTGTCCGGGCTGGGGCGGGGCGCTGCGGAGGCGGCGGCGTGGAGGTGGCGGTGGCGGTGGCGGTGGTGGCGGTGGCAGCGACGCCTGGGTCGCGTCCCCATTCCCCCCCTCGGGTGCGAGAGCCATGGAGGCGCTGAGGGAGTCTGTGCTGCACTTGGCCTTGCAGATGTCGACCTACAAACGGGCCACGCAGGATGAAGAGGAACTGGTGGACTCACTCTCAGAGGGCGACGTGTATCCACGCGACCCGCAGGTAGGAGTCCCGGCCCTCTGTGGGAGCCTCCCCTTCCCGGGTGGGGGGTGCTGTGCATGCGCACTGGCGCTCCCCGCCCCCACCAGCCCCGCGCCTCCGCCCCCATCCTGCCAGTCCCAGAGGGGTCTGTGCCAGCCCCAAGCGGTAGACAGGCTGGGCTCCGTGGGGGAGAAGGCTTTCTGGGGCAAAAGTGCCCCTAGGGCACAGAGCTTGTCCACCAGCCTCTCCTCCACAGCTCTGCCTTTCCCCTGGGCCCCCTGCGCCCCGGACCACACTCGTGGGGCTATAGCCCAGGTGGCAGAGTTGAAGCACATACCCTCCCTTTCCCTTTAGAGCCCAACTGGTCCAGTTTTCGTTTCACAGAAGAGGCGGTTCCTGAACACTCAGGGACTTGCCCTAGGTGACACAGCCTGTTACTGGCAGAGCCTGAAACTGTTTTAGCACTAAAGCTCTGTGTTCCTGGAACCCCCTCAGTACTAGACACACTGGGCAGTTGGTCACCCAGTCTGGAAGGCATTACCCTATTCTCCCCTCCCCCCATACCCGAATTTCCAGGACGGGGGTGGGAGCTATCCTCTTCCCCCTTTCTCTGCCACGTTTCAGCCAATTCCTCCCCTCCCAGGGTCTGCCCCGTGACAATCCAGTAAGCCCACCACCTCCCTACTGTGTGGCACCACAGTGAGCAGGGCTACTTTCTGCGCTTTCCCTGTGGGGCTGAGTGGGACAGTCCTGACCTTAATGGGGTTTTTACCCAGGCAGGTAGGTGGCATTGAGTTGGCAACATCAAGGACACCCAAGGGGGCTCTGTGATCCGGCTCCTGAGGAACCAGTGTAGAGAGAGGAGCCAGGGCATCTCAGTCCAGGAGGACTTGTGCCAGGCTGATGAAGGGCAACACTGGGCGGTGTCTTGGGACCTTCCAGTGAACTGACAACAAACCACAGCCTCTGTGGTGGGCAAGCTTGAGGTGTGTGGACACAGGCTGCCAGATCCAACCCTACTCAGGCACACCCCCTCAAAGCTGGAGTAGAATACTAATACAGGGAGACAGGGTGGAGTGAGTCCCTCCTCCAGGCTAAATAGGTCCAGGGAGATCCAAACTCATGATCCCAAGTGGGATGTGGCACCCTTACCTACATTATTCTACTTAACCTTCAGGACCATCCCATGAGCTAAAGGGGTTACTGTTCCCACTTACAGGTGAGGGAGCTGAGGCTCTGAAAGGGGAGACAGCTCACCTTAGGTCACAGAGCTGGAAATCTGGGAGTGAGAAATCCAACCCAGTTTGTCCAGAACCTCTTCCCTGCGGACACTCAGGCTAAATCCAGCAGGAAATGAGATTTCTGTAGCAGGCACTTTTCCCTGCTACAAATCAAAACAGAATCTAATCAGCAATCTTTTTAGTCTCATCTTCCACAGATGGTTCTAAATATATCAGCACAAAAGCATTTGGAATTCACAACAAAATGTGCCATGTAGTTATCATCATAATAGCAGCCCACATGGGTATAGCCTTTTCCAGGTCACAGAGTCCTTGCATCGCCCTGAGGCTGCCTGGCAGAATGAAGGCAGCTCAGTCCCTGAAGCTGGGGACCCAGGTTTGAATTCTGACTCCACTCAAGCTCTTGGGCCAGCTGCTTAATCTCTTAATCCCTTTAAAGCACAACTTCCTCATCTGTAAAATGGGAGAGAAAGTGGATGTTTTTTTTGACCTATGAGGTAAGGGCCCCTGTGGCCATATTACGCATGATAAAGAAGGATTAGGGAGATTCCTGTGGTCAGAGTTGTCATGTGGTTTGGAGTGCAGTGTTGGTGCCCCTACCCCAAGCTGGATACATTGCTCACTTTCTATATGGGAAAAAGCCGAAAAGGTAGCCCCAAGGATTTGGGGCATTCTTTGGGTACCCAGTCTGGCTTGCCTTAAGCCTCCACAACTTCCCCAGAGCAAATGTGAACTAGTCCAACGCTTGTTCTTCTAAGAGTCAAAAACTCATTCACCTCTGCTTAGAAAGCAAAATTTTCTATTTTATATTTTTAATCATTGAGGTTTTTTCCAATGTACAAACTCGACATGCTCATTTGTGAATATAAAAAAGAGTCCAGTACATTAAAAAAAAAAAAAAAAAAAAAGATTTAAAAAGAAACAGTAACCTCACTGCTCACAGATAGTCACTTCTAGTTTTTCACATTTGCATGTATATATTTTTAAACATAGTTGAGTTGACTCGAAGGAGATGATGTAGCATCCTGCCTTTCTCCGTTAATGCGACTTCATACGTATTTTTCTGTGTTGTTAAAAAACCTCCACAACCTGCTGCCATTAAAAATCATAATACCTCCCCCTGGCTGGTATGGCTCAGTTGGTTGGGCATCATCCCCTTCCCCAGAAAGACTGTGGGGTTGATTTCCTGGTTAGGACACATGGCCAGAGTGTGGGTTCAATCCCTGCTAGGGGGCGTGCAGGAGCCAGCCAATTGATATTTCTCTCTCTTTCTCCCTCTCCCTTTCTATCTATCTAAAAATCAATGAAAATATATATATTTTTTAAGAAATCATACCTCATGGCACCAATATATAAAAATATATTTAATCACTATAGTTGGACAATAGGCCCAATAGTGTAACACTGTAACTGACTGTCTTTTAGCCTTTTAGATGAGTTAGTTGCTAGAAACACAACTGCTCCCTCCATTTTAGGCTTTTTAAAATGGACCCTGTCTGCCCAGCTGGTGTGGCTCAATGGGGCTCAGAGAAGAGATGGGGAGGACCAGAGGACATACAGTTTCGCTCTGGACTGGCCCCATGGTCTCAGCCAGAAGTCTGCCATATGGTCAGAGAGGTCCTGGTTTGATTCTCCATCAGGGCACATGCCCGGGCTGTGGGCTTGATCCCCAGTAGGGGGTGTGCAGGAGGCAGCCGATCCATGTTTCTCACATCGATGTTTCTATCTCCCTCTCTCCCTTCCTCTCTCTCTAAAAAAAAAAAATCAATAAAAACATTAAAAATAATAATAAAACAGTCTTCCCAAATCTTCCTATCTTGACGGGCAGCTATAAAAATAAGCTACTTGATTTTTCAAGATTTTGAAGTTCTAGGAACTCCAGTTATTGTTACTGATACTAGCAAATGAAAGCTTCCATCTTTCAGCCAAACTTGCTTTATTTCTGAATACACTGTCAAAATGCTGAATTTTGCTGGAGCCAAGTTCTACCTGTACCTCACCTGAAAGGGTTTTTCTTTTCCTTTATCTCGTATTTTAGGCGCACGTTCATTGCGAGTCGCCAGAATTTGTCCCAATGGCCTGGGTGCAGCATTCAAAGCCAGGCCCCTCTAACACAGAGCCCAGCTTTGCCTCCCCTGGGCTCAGACCTGCGAGCAGCTGTCCTAGCTCTTTTGGTGCAAAGTGGGGTTAATACTGTTAGTCCGCCTCCCAGAGCTGTTACAGAGGTTGAAATGAGACAGTGTAAGCGAGAGCCTTTAGTGTAGCGCACAGAAAATGGATTTGGCTGTTATCAGAATTATCATCAAAACTCGCCAGGCGTGATGTCTCAGTGATGCCCTAAGTATAACAGCTTTTCTGTGCTCTGCTCAGGCTGGCTGCCCGGCCTCTCACACCCAGCCACACCGTTTCAGTGGCTTGAAAGGAAAAAGCTCAAGTTACCCCTGCAGCCTAAACTGGGGAGCAGATGTCCATGACTGTTTACCAGAAGCTTTGAAACTCACCCAGTTACTTCTAAAAATTCATTTTTTCAACAAAAAGAAAAGCTTTTGTTATTTTTATATTTAATTCTTAATGGTGGTGTTCTCTCTCTCTCTCTCTCTCTCTCTCTCTCTCTCTCTCTCTCTCCTCCCCTCACCCCCTGCCACACACAGGCTCTCTTGGAAGGTGGACTAGTAGTATGATCCCCATTTTGCACCAGAAGAACTGAGAGTTGCTGTCAGGTCTCAGTATGATTTCGGGGACAGTCCCACTCAGTACTTTGAAAAGACCTCTCTGCTTACGAGGAGGTTCTTTCAGCTCCATCCACCTGCTAGAGACTCATACTCATGGCCTTAGAGTTGTTCTAGAATCTGCGGTGGTCAGACCTGGGACCGCATCCAGCTTCCTCATTTTAAGGGTAGGAGTCGGAGGCCCGGAGGCTGCCCAGCAACACACATGGGACGTTGGTCAAGTCCAGGGCAGCCTTTTCTCTTGTGCCACTAGCAGCTGGTGTTCCTTCAGGGAAGCCAAGAGGATGGGAACGCACTTCTTTGAACACTAGACTTTGATTCCTTTTAAGACGCGAGTTCTGTCCCCTTCGACACGTACTGCTTTAAGCTGTGATCAGTTCCTGGAAGAGTCGGGCACGGGGCAGGTGGGGCTCAGAGAAGAGATGGGAGGACCAGAGGACTGGCCCCAGTGGCCTCAGCCAGAAGTCTGCCACATGGAAGCTTCTAGAAGAAACTCCCCCAACCTAACACCTTTATGGAGGCAGAGTGCCACACAGGGCCAAGCTGTCATGGTCGGTCTGCTCTGAAAGGCTGAGTCTGGCAGGCAGCCTGGTCACCCTGCCAGCCCTCATGGGGTGGCCAGGCTCTTGGGCGGCACAGGGTGGGCTCCCTGCCAAGCCCTTGGCCAGACTGACTTCTGTTTTCTGCTCCACGAAGCCCAGGTCACTGGGGGACCTGGCGGTGGTTCAGCCACTGCCTTTCCTCCTTACCCCCTGCTTTATGTGAAAACCAGGCTTAGCCCACCTCCCCACTCCTGCTGCTGGCTTGTGTCCTGGGCCCCGGGCAGTGGCGGCCCGTCTTCGCCCGCAGAACTCTTTCCTGCTGTAAGCCCAGGTGAGCCAAGCACTCACTTCTGTAATGGAATATTTATCCCTCCTTAGGCAGGGCTTTGTTCCCTTGGCTGTGGGAACCTGGGCTGCACCAGCTCAGCTTTCTCTTACTCTCCTGTATCTCCGGCTGTCTGTCTCTCTCTCCTGTCTCCCTCTCCATCTCTCTCTTTCGAGAGCATCCTTTTCTTTCTGTCTCGTTCTCTCTGCCTCACGTGGCAATAACTGAGATATTAAACCCACCAACGAGCTGAGCATGCACAGTAATTCTCAACTCTCATCTCTGCTCCCTGGCCAGTGGTCACATCTCAAAGTGGCATGGGCTGCCCGCCACTAATCCTCCTACCCTGCCAGTCACTGGAGACTGGCGATTGATATGCCCTTGTTTCCAAAAGGAATGTGAGAAGCTCTTTGAGCCCCCCTTGCTGTGGCCTGTCTTGCTGGGTCCTCTGAAGGAGGCTGGGCAGATGACGGGCTCAGCGCGGAGAAGGGACTTGCCAGCAGATCCGATTTACACCCAGCCCTGTCCATCACACCCAGTAATTGGACCGCCTCTCCTGGAGAGGACTCGATTGGTGCCTCCAGGTGACTCCTGACCCAGAGGGATGCTTCTGGACTCCTTCCGCCCTCAGATGGGTTTGGGGCTTGTCGAAACCAAGAGGCCCTCAGCCAGGACAAGTCAAGCAAAGACCATTACAAAAGTTAAAACCCTATTTTCAAATTCCATTTGCCATTTCTGCCTGGAACTATGAATTTCTAATTTAATTCTGACTTAATTTTAATTGGGTTTGGCCGTGAACACCATCTGTCCGCTTGCCATCAAACAGTGGGGCTCAGCTCGATTTTGCTTCTGGGGGGCAGCACAGCCACCGGGCCGAGGCTGTGGGTTCTAGGCAGAGATGGTCTTGCTCGCTGGTCTCCTTCTCCGCCCCCGCCACTTCCTGTGTTTCTTCTGCACCTAATATAGTACCTACCCTTAGGGATGTTGTCAAGATGGAATAGCACCACCCAGCCACAATAGAACAAACACGATGCCAGGCACACAGCGCTCAGACACTGGCTGCCGTAATTGGTCTTTTTTCCTTTCCTCCTTCCCTCTGTTCCTTTCATTTCTTCTCTCCTTGCACCTCCTCGGATTCCCCACCGGTACCGAGGTGTTGCTCTGTCCACACCCGGGGAGGTTTTCCTGCTTCCCGCAGCCCCATGGCTGTGCTCCCCAGCTTCCCAGAGCCAGCCCCAGGCGGAGGGCTCCCCGCCTCGCCCTGTCACTGCCTCCCCCACGAGCTAAGCCCACGGAGGGGCCTAGAGCAGGAGGCAGAACTCAGAGCCGAGTCCAGGGGCAGGGCCGCAGGGAGACTGCGAGCAGGTGTCAGCGCCTGCCTCGCACCCTGGGGACCGACCCTCCGAGTCCCAGGCGCACTGCGGAGGACACGGATGCCTTGGAAGAGGCGCTGTGTGAGCCTTCCAGGGCTGTGAATTGTTCGCATCGCCCCAGGCTCCGTCTCAGCCCAGAGGGTTGACGGCATGGCTGTAGCATGGTCAGAATCCTTGTTTCTCACATTTGAAAACAGGTTCTTAAGAAATTTTAGCTCTCCTCCCCCGACCAGATGTACCTGCTTCGATTTCTGAGCCTCCTGGCCCTCCGTGGAAAATATGACTGGGCCACAAGTTCCTTTTTTTAGTTTTGGAACACAGTTTTCCTTCTATGAAAAGTTCTAATGTTCCCCTTTCTCTGGTGTAGCACTTCCTAGTCATTTTCTGACCAGAAATTACTCAGCGATGACCCCAAGGCCACTCCGTGCCGTCCCTTTCCCAAGGTGACCAGCTTTAAATCCCCACGTGTCAGTGTGAGGTTCTTGGGTGACTTGGCTCCCAGGGGGCAGCCACCACCTCCGCTGGTAGTGGGGCACTTGCAGGTCAGGGTCTGGGTCTCCTCCTCTCCCCTGGTGGCTCCTTTGCCTCTCTCCCCCCGCCCCCCCGGCAGGCTGTGGGTCTCCCTGCCACCAAGCCTCGCACCCCCACCTTGGCCTTTCCAAAGGGCACATCTAATCCTGCCGCTCCAGCCTGCGGGAGCCCACGTCCTTTAAACCAGCTTACAGGTGCCCTTAGGATCTAGGCCTTGCCACCACCCGCTCTTTCCCATTCACCTGGGCAGCTCCTACTTATTCTTCAAGACCCAGCCTAGGCATTCCCCACCTCCAGGAAGCCTTCCCTGACTGAACCCCTTGCCCACCCCACTCTATGTCTTTATCCGTCTCTGCTGGGCTGTGAGCCCCTGAAAATGGGGCAGTCTGTCTTCCTTTCATTTCCAACACGGCCTGACTTGGTGCTCAGCTGTTGTCACACAGCCATCATGTCGGTGAACCAAGCCCCACCTTCAGGGGACCCCTCTTGTACTATGGCCCCAGCTTTTGCAGAAAGGACCTGTTGGAACAGAGGAGAGCCCGGCTGGCCCCGGCTGAGGGCTCTGAGTGCTATTGGCTGCTGTGTCCCTCCTCAGCCCCGGGGGCCTGCCACGCCCTCCACTTCCTCTCATTGTGCCTCCCTTCCTGTTTAGCTAGACTCCGAGGCTGGGGAGAGTTTCCCTCCCTTTGGGGACCTGCTTGGATGGAGCTGTTTCTCCCCTGCATCTCCCCTGACACCTTCCCAAGACTCAAATCTCCGAGCCGCTGGTGGCTCCAGGATCAACAACCTTGGAGTCAGTTCCAGCTCCACCCGTTCGTGTGACGAGAACAGGGTCTTCTCTCTGGGCTTTCATATCCTCATTCGTAAAAAAAAGAACTAATAGTAGCCCTCCGGGCTGTGGGGGGTTAATGAGCCGAGGGCGTCCACGCTCCTGGGAGTGTGAGCAGTGGTCGGGTCACCCTCGGGGTGTGTTGTCCCAGCCCATTGATGCTGGGCCCTCGAGGAGAGCCGAGCTGGACACTCACTGGATGTCTGCAGGCCCACACATCCTGTTCTTTTTTGAACTCCTTACTGGAAAAACAGGGAAAAGCTGTTTTTTTCCTTCTGCCCATATCGGGTGACACAAAAAAACACAAGCCCGGCTGGGTTGAGCTACTTGACTCTCTGAAGTTTAGGAGCAAATCTGAGCTGCCGAGCAGGGTGGCGGTTACTTTCCTGGATTAGGACCCAGTCCGTGGGAAGCAGACCACCCCCGAGGCAGGAGGGCCGCCCTGATGTCTCCCCGGGGCCTGGGCCTGCCTCGGAAGAGCCCCTTCCTCCTGGGGAGGGGAGGCCCCGGGCTCATGTCCTCCCCACCCCTCCTGCGTCCTCCCCTGCAGGTGAAGTTCCACAGCCCCTGGAGTGGCCAGCGATGCTGGGCCGAGCGGACCCAGGTGGAGAAGCGGCTGGTGGTGCTGGTGGTGCTTCTGGCAGCAGGACTGGTGGCCTGTGTGGCAGTGCTGGGCATCCAGTACCGGACAAGTAGGTGCCTCTGTGTTTCATCGTGGGCCTGTCCACTCGTGCAAGGGGCTGCCCTGCTCAAGCCCGACTGGCCTCCAAGACCCCGGAGAGCTACGTCTGGCGGACTGGGGTTGCTGAGCTCGCCCGAGACCCGGCAGGTGGGCGGTACGGGTGGTGTGAAGGTTCTGGCCCAGCAACTTACCGTCTGTATGACCTTGGACAAGTCACTTAATCTCCCAGAGCTTGTGACTTCGGTACTTGAAATGGGGAAAATGGTGCCCAGTGTGGGGATGGCTCTGAGGGTTAGAGATATGTATGGCGGATACCTGGTACCTACCAGGACTTCCTTGACCTTCGCTGTAGGTACTACTGTTAGGATGTGCGAGCTGATGAGACACATAGGCTGGCACTGTCCACCATCCTTAGTGCCAGTAAAACAGCCGTAATGGCTTCCGTTCGCCTAATACTTCCCACGGACCAAACGCCGCAGCTCGTCTTTACAGATGTAATCTCATTTCCAGGCGCTGTCCTTACAGCAGCCCCATGAGGCGTGTTACTTTTGGCCCCATTTTGTACAGGAGGAAACTGAGGCAGTGAGGCTAAGCGACGTGCCTGAGGTTCCTGCCCGAGGGGTTCGGGGAGCCGGAATTTCATCACAGGCCCTTGGGCCCCGGAGCCCAGGCCTCGCCTGCCTTTGTGATTAGAGTGCACCCCAGTGTGGTGAGGATCCCCAGGAAAGCTGTCCTCTCGTTATCCAGCTGACTTCCGTGTCCCTCTGTAATCACATTCTGTCCTGCCTTGTGTAGTGACGTGATCGGGACCCCCCCAACCTGCTGTCCGGGGACGAGGCTGGTTCTGTGCCTGGCCGAGTGCCTCACACAGACTTGATGCTCAGTAGGCGTTTGTGGAACTGGGAAGGGCAGATCCAGGTGGAACACGAGGGTGGGGAGTCCAGCTGATTCCAGGGCCTCGCTCCCCTGTGGCCCCGCATCTAGCTTTCTGACGGCAGATTGTCCGCCCAGTTGAACAGCCACTGAGGGTCCAACGCCACAGACTTGGTCACCTGGGCCCTCATCCCATCAGAGAGATTGTGAACCTTTACAGGATCTGGGAACATCCACCCCAGGCTCCACTGAGCCTTGTCCACTGTGAACTTGCTGGCCCACCTGGATGGCCCTGCCGGACTGGGAAGAGGAAAAAGTTTGGGCGCCTGGAGGGAGGGCAGGACTTCATCTGAGTCATCCTTAATCCCTCCTGTATCAAGCACCTGCTCATTCATTCATTCATTCATTCATTCCACAAACATGTAGTGAGTGCTTACTCCATGTCAGGCAGTTTACCAGCTATTCCTGGCTCAGCAGATGCTAATGCATATTTGATTGATTAATTAATGATTCCCATGCTCTTATGTACTTAGCATAATGCCTGCGTACCATAGGTGTGCAAATAGTTTGCAAATTGAATAAATAAATGATTGAATGGACAAAGGAGCAAGAAGGAGGACAAAGCTATGAACAGCCTTTCTCTACTGATCACTCTTGTCCTGTAGCCACCATCTTGCTTGTGAGGCAAGATCTTGCCTAAACCCGCTTGCCGGACAGTGTGGACCCTGCCCAGCCCCTGGCCCTATGCCTGGGGAGTATGCAAAACTCCAGCAGCCAGTGTCGCCCTGAGACTGCCCCAGGAGTTCCCAAGATGTTTCCCATCAGAAACCAGAAGGGACCCCCAAGGGGAGGCTCCTAGTGATAAGGCCACAGAGGGGCCCACAGCACGGAGTCCTGCTTCTGCCTCCATCCCAGCCTTCTCAAGGAAGTAGAAGGGTTTTCCCAGCTTGGACCTGGGTGAAAGGAACTCTGGGTGGAGCTGGGTCAGGATCAGGTGACCCCTGAGCCAGCCTATGTGTTTTCACCAGCTCCCTGGGCTGGGCAAGCAGTGGCCACCCTGGGTGTTGACAGTGACCTCATTACCCAGCAGCAGGTGCTGGCACCGGCCACATCTGAGCAAACATAGGCCAGACAAAGCAAATTCCCTCTGTGAATTCTGAACGACCCACCTGTAAGTTATGTCTGGGCACTTAAGTACATATTTATCCACCTTCCTGCTGCACCCTCCTTTCTAGAAGCTTGCGGGTGCTTTACAAACAGCAGCAGCAAAGCAAACTCAGTGTGGAGGCCAGGTGCTATCCAGATCAGTGTCTGGGCCCTGGATCTGGACCTGTTCCTGCTTTCTTGAGTGATCATGCATATCCTAAAGGAAAGAAGTATTTTCAGCCTCCACAGGTGGTAACCAAGTGCTGGACAGAGCTCCTTCCTTCATTCATTTCATTCATTGCTGCAACACGTGTATTGGACGGCAGCTAGGTGCCAAGTACCATGCTGGGCAAAGGAAATATAAAAGCATGTAAGATGCTGGCCTTACCCTCAAGCGCACATTCTGGTTGGGAAGGTAGCCAGGGAGACGGCTTAGTCTGTGCTCGGATCTCAATACCCAGGCAGCCAACGGGCCCAGAGAGGGATGAGGATTTGAGGAGGCTTCCCCAAGGCGGTGGAGCCTGAGTATTTACCTTGACATCAGATGAGGGGGGCCTGGAGACAATAGGCAAGTATGCATTAAGTACCTTTTGGGTCAGCAATGCTTGGTAACAGACCTGCAAACCATCAAATAGTGAAATACTTAAAGCTTGTTGCCTAAGCACCACCTAGGGGCCTTGCCCTGTGCCTAGCAGAGTTGGTGCTTATAAGTGCTTAGTGAAGAACTCAGACTAATTCCTGGGGACTGGTTTCTTTGTTTTAAACCCAAGTCCACCCCCCCCCTTTTTTTTTAAAATAACTTTTTTTTAGTGTTTTTTTTTTAACCAGGAAATCTTTTTATGTTGTTGTTCAGATAGAGCGGGAGGGAGAGGGAGGAAGAGAGAGAGGGATACATCAACGTGAAAGGGACACATCGAGTGGCTGCCACCTGCACGACCAACCAGGGACGGGGACACTGCAACCGAGGTACATGCCCTTAGCGGGAACCGAACCCAGGTCTCTCCAGACCTAAGGCTGATGCTTTAACCGGCCAGGGCCCAAGTCCCCTTTTGCTAACTACAGATCAACCCCCCCGCCCCGCAGACGTTCCGATGGATCTTGCTCTCCCAGGATCGCCCTCGCTCTCCGTCTTTAGGGTATTCCCAGCAGCCCTGATTGTCGGGCTTTCCTTCCTGTGGTTTGTTGTACAGAAACAATAGGTATTCTTTTCCTTTTCCAAATAATGAAGTTACATCACAGTAGTGAATAGGCTTTTTCAAACTACACAGACATTCTCTTCCCCTACCCCCACCTCCTGGGAATACCCTGTGCAGTGCCCTCCCTGGTGGGGAGCGGGGCATGCAACTTGGCTTGAGGTGCTCTGATCGAGAGACACATAAAATGATGCGTGTTCCCTCAATGACCTTTCATTGCTGCGAAGGCATCGCGGAGCTAGTGAGCACCTCTGAGTCCAGTCCCCTGGTTTTTGGGCTGCTGTGCGGCTCCTCCAAGCCTTGCTCCACCTGCAGACTTCATGTTTGTCATGGGGCGTTAATGGCCTGCAGGCTCCCCAGCCCTGCTGGATTGTGTCTGTGAGGTGAACTGCCCGGGCAGCGGGTGCGTTCTTTGCTCTCTAAAGAGTGGCCTGGGAGCCTTGGACCATAAGACTCAAGCGAGCTGAGCCCCCGGGCCCAGCCATGAGGTCGTTTCGTCATCCCTGTGAAGTTGGTCTTGCTGATCTTCATTCCTAGATGGAGAAACCGAGGCTCAGAGAGATGAGGTCACTCGTGCGAGGCCCACAGCCAGAGGCAGAGAGCTGGGAGTTGAACCCAGGTCTGAGGGATGGGCTCCCAGGAAGGCGGCAGCAGCCCTGGTGTGCCCGGAGGCAGTGCGGGACAGCCAACGCCCGCCTGAGCTGCTGCGGCAGGACCGGGCTGGGTTCGGTCTCGGCTCAAGCCACTCAGCTGCGTGACCTTGTTCCCTCACTCACTCAGTGCCTCAGTTTCCTCATCTTTAAACGTGTGTGACACCTGTAGCTGAGGCTTGTACTGAGGCCCACCTGAGGTCATGAACGTGTGTGAAGTACCTGGTGCAGAGCTGTGCTTGGTAAACAGTCCCTCTGTCTCCGCACAGCTGTGTCAACACGATTCCCCTGGGCCTGCTCTTAGTCACCAGCCTGCATCTCCGGCCTCCATCCTTCAGAGTCAGGTTCACCCTGCTCCTCGGCCTGGGCCACGGCTGAGGCTGCCCATGGTGTGGTTCCTTTGCAGGAGCCCACTGATCAACCTCGGGCTGGGATCCAGCCCCCTCCTCTTTCCCTGGCCTTCAGACAGCTCTGATTTCTCTGCTCATTGTTTTTTTTTGTTGTTGTTTTTTTTAATCCTCATCCGAGGACATTTTTCCATTTTTTGTACAGACAGAGTGGGAGGGAGAGAGAGGAAGAGAGAGAGAGGGAAACATCGATGTGAAAGGGACACATCGAGTGGCTGCCACCCGCACGACCAACCAGGGCCGGGGACAAACTGCAACCGAGGCACATGCCCTTAGCGGGAACCGAACCCGGGTCTCTCCGGACCGCAGGCGGACGCTCTAACCGCTGAGCCAAACCGGCCAGGGCGCTCATTGTGTTTTGAAGCTACTTGTGGGATTTGCAGCCCTGCCCCCTGGCCACCTGCACCAACTACTGTCCCTCCTTAGGCCACACCTGACAGGTGGGGCTGCCCTGCCACCTGGCAGCATGGGGCTTCCTCCCCAGGAGATCTTCCAGCTGGGCCCAAAGCAGACATAGCTGAGAGGGCAGGGCTCAGATCCCATTGGCCACTAAGCAGGGTGCTTAGCTTCTCTGTGCCTCAGCTTCCTCTATGTAAAAATGGCCGTAAGCAAAATGATCTCTTAGGATTGTATTACTGAATGGTTTTTTGGAGCATTCATTGAGGTTACTCTCCTGCCTTGTATTCAGTGGGAATGATTTTTCATAGTTCTTTCCTAAAAGTCTTTCTTCTTCCTGAGCCCTGGCACCTAATGTCTGCATCACCCATTTGGCACTTGGTTTGTTTTCATAGAATGAGTGACAGGTGTTTCTCCTACTGTTGTCTTTTGACTTCCCATTTATAGTTTTTGTTTTGTTTTGTTTTTTATCCTCACCCAAGGACATTTCTCCATTTTTGTTCAGATAGAGTGGGAGGGAGAGAGAGGAAGAGAGAGAGAGAGAAACATTGATGTGAAGGGACACATCGAGTGGCTGCCACCCGCACGACCAACCAGGGCCGGGGACAAACTGCAACCGAGGTACATGCCCTTAGCGGGAACCGAACCCGGGTCTCTCTGGACCGCAGGCCGACGCTCTAACCGCTGAGCCAAACTGGCCAGCGTGACTTCCCCTTTATAATGTGTGTATCCCCAACTAAATTATTAGCTCTTGAAGGAAAGGACTTGACCTTTTATATGCCTGACCCCCCCCCACACACACACACACACACACACACTCTGCGCTCAGCAAGAACCTGGAAGATACTCAGTAATTATCTTGTTGAACAAACGAATGCATGAATGAATGAATGAATGAATGAATTTGTTGAACTCCAGGGAATCATAAAAAGTCAGTACTTGTAGAGGGAAGGAATAATTAAGAAAAACACCTTGTTTCTGGGTACTTTTATTATTTTTATTAAAATTTTTTTTCTTTTATTTATTGATTTCAGAGAAAGAGAGGAAGGGAGAAGGAGAGAGAGATAAAAACATTGATGAGAGAGAACATTGATTGGCTGCCTCCTGCACGCCCCCCACTGGGGATCGGGCCCACAATCTGGAAATGTGCCCTGACTGGGAATCGAACTGGCAGCCTCTTGGTACATGGGTTGATGCTCAGCCACTGAGCCACACCGGCCACGCTGTGGGTACTTTTAAGCCATAGGAAGGATTTTAGGCAACTAAACAGAATTCTTATATTATAAGCCAGGAGATAGGAGTCTACTGAGATCATTTCTCTGGAGGGATCTAGTGGCTTCCAGCTCCAAGGTCAGGGCCAGAGTGGGGCACGGCACCCCAGGACCCCAGGCCACCTGTACTGCACTCCTGCAGCCTCCTCCCTGCCCACCCTTCACTGGCCTCTTGTCCTTGTCTCCTGCCAGGAACCCCCTCGGTGTGCCTCAGCCAGGCCTGTGTCTCAGTGACCAGCTCCATCTTGAGTTCCATGGACCCCACGGTGGACCCCTGCCAGGACTTCTTCACCTATGCCTGCGGCGGCTGGATGAAAGCCAACCCCGTGCCCGATGGCCACTCGCGCTGGGGGACATTCAGCAACCTCTGGGAACACAACCAAGCCATCATCAAGCGCCTCCTCGGTAAGCACCCGGCAGGGGGCCCGCGAATGGGCTGCAGAGGACGGCTGTTAGCAGGACCTGCCTGGCCAGGCCAGTCAAGGAGGAGCTTGGCAGAGGGGAGACCATGGGCTTTGGGTAGGTGAAGGTGGGTTAGAATGCCTGGCCCATCCCTGTGTGATCCGAGGTTACTTATCGCCGAGCCTCAGTTTCGTCCTCTGTAAAGCAGGACTGATCATACCCAAACTGCAGAGCTTGGAGGACTAGAGAGCACACGTGTAAAGTGTTAGCACGGCGTGTGTGCACAGAAACTGGCAGCATGGTCCTTGCTTTATGACTTCAAGCTGCAACTTAGTTGTTGATTAGTATTGTGAATTTTGCAAGTTGTGAGCGAAAGGAATCAGGGCTGAGCACATGAGATTAGATTTTAAGGTTTGAGCAGATAACAGTTATGACCGCGGTTTATCTGAGTCGCTCACTGCAGGCAGCAGCCTTCCCTGGCCTCTTGCGATAAGCCGCTAACCCAAGTTCTTCCCCTTGCCCTTGTCAGGACTTCGGCACCTCTAGGCGCTCAGATTGGAATTCCACGTCTGTCTTGTTTGCAGCTGTATCCCCAGATAATGTCTGTTGAATTAACATCTGCCCATCGGGGTCCTCCTCCACGTGAAATCAGACGCTCCATGCTGTCACATGTAGAGGTCCTGGCTTGAACCCCTTAGCAGCTGAGATCTTTGCCGTCCCTCTCTCCTGCTGACCCCATCCTGGGACCCTAAATGGTGGGAGAGGTTAGATAATGAAAAGCCAGTCAATTAACCCATCAATGAGAGAACTTAGATTCAACAAATACTACTTACAGTTGTTTTTTTTTTAAACCCTCAAGATACTCAAAAAGTAGGTAAGATAGAAGAAGATGCCTAAATGGAGACACGTCGCAAAGGGACAGAAACCTACCTGTAGGAAAGTTTTCTAAATGATAAGAAAAGATTCTAATTTGACAGTTAATGAATTTCAAACAACTGTGTCTTTCATTTTACTTCATTTTAAAAAATTTTTTTAAATTTCAAATTGATTTTTGAGAGAGAGAAACATCGATTTGTTGTTCTACTTATTTATGCATTCACTTGTTGATCCTTCTATGTGCCCTGACCAGGGATTGAACCTGCAACCTGCGTATATCGGGACAATGCTCTAACCACCTGAGCTACCCAGCCTGGGCAGCAACTGTGTCTTTTATTTTTTATTTATTTATTTATTTAATCCTCACCTGAGGATATTTTTCCATTTTTTGTACAGATAGAGTGGGAGGGAGAGAGAGAGAGAGAAACATCGACGTGAAGGGACACATTGAGTGGCTGCCACCCGCACGACCCACCCGGGCCGGGGACAAACTGCAACCGAAGTACGTGCCCTTAGCGGGAACCGAACCCGGGTCTCTCCGGACCGCAGGCCAACGCTCTAACCGCTGAGCCAAACTGGCCAGGGCGGCAACTGTGTCTTTTAAATGAAAAGAAACCTTTCCTTTCCCAGCCCTGGAGACGACACTGCTGCTGGGTGAAACCCACCCACTGTTTCTTCTTGGCCCCCAGCAGCCCCTGGGCAGGGTCCCTTGGCAGTCCCCTTAGTAGCACAGCCTCCTGCTTGTCTCCCTGCGAATCGGAACAGGGTAGTGGATGGAGGTGTTTGCCACTCTATGTCAGGGACAGCAAAGCCCCTGCCTGCTTTATGCTACCCAGGTGCCTCTGGAAGGGGACATAGGCTTTCATTTCAGAACTAGAAGCTTAAAAGGCAGGTATATCTGGTAGCCAGACTGGAACTCAGGGCTGTCCCTTCCCTGGCACCTAAACACAGCGCCAGGAGCTGGGCAAGCACTATCAACCAGAGGGGGATCAGTCCGGGTAAGATAACAAGATGGGCTAGTGCCTCTGGGTTCAAATTCTGCCTCTTCCACTTACTGTGTGATCTTGAGTCAATGACATAACCTCTCTGGGCTTCTCTCCTCCCTTAGGTTATGAAAATTAAATGGGAAAACACATAGAAAATGCTTTGTTTGAATCAGCCTGGATATTGTGATGGCTCTGTTTTTGTTGGTGTTACTGTTATTCACCCTTGACCGTTGCACAGGTTTTTTTGGTAGATATCACCCCATTTGATCCTGCAGGGTAGAAGCTGGGAAGCACTTGGTAGATGAGGAAACAAGACAGGTTAGTAGGTGGCAGAGCTGGGACTTGCCTGACTTCTGGTCACATGTCCTTTCCCCTGTCCACACTACCTCCTTCAAGTACAAGGGACGGATGTGGCTCCCTCCCCACCTTGGTGGAGAAAGCCTGCGGGAAGCTCAGAGCACTGAGGGTGTGGAGGAAAGAGGGAAAGAGACTGCCATCTGTTCAGGGTCTGCTAGGGCTGTGCACCGTGCCAGGCTCTTGATGCCCACCTTTGTCCTCACAGCTACCCTGGGATGTAGGCACTGTGGCTCCCATTATGTAGATGAGGAAACTGAGGCTCAGAGAAGTTAGTTGCCAAGGATACAATGCCAGTCAGGAAGGAGAGGGGTTCCAGCCCTGGGGAGCAGTTAGCCCGGAGAGAGGACGGGGAAGAAAGGCGGACGGGGCAGGCCCTTCAACTTTCCGGTTAAGTCCCAGAACTGGCCCTTGTGCATGGTGCCTGTGGGGTCTGATCCTGCTGGCTCTGCACCTGTTCTTATCAGGAGGACCTTAAGTCGGTGCCAAGACTAAGTCTGCCCCCAGGTGGCAGGGCCCATGAGAAGTGGCCGTCCGTCCTAGGCTCTGGTCTTACATCCACCCTGTCCCTGTCCCTGAAGGCCAAGGTGTGGGTGGGGAGCTGCACTGAGCTGGGCTCGGAACAGCCAGAACCATGTATGTGTTCAAGCCCCTGACCCAAGGCCAGGGTCTGGTGGTATCAGGAGGCCACACTGCAGGTTTTGAAGTCAGGCAGCCCTGGCATGCTGGCTTATCACCTGCGTGGCCTCGGACAGATGAACCAACTTCTCTCCGGCTTGTTTTCATTATCTGTAAAATGGGGATGACGATGCCACCTAACACATGAAGTTCCTGTGAGTTTTGGCTTGTGTGGGATGGCCAGAGTCTTAGCACCGAGCCTGGCGCCTGGGACGTGCTGTCAGCCGAGCAGGGCTGGCCTCTGGGTGCTGCGGGCGAGGCCCTGCCCGGACTTCTTCCCAACAGGCTGTGCGGGCAGGAGGCCCAGCCCGCAGGCCCCAGCTCTCCACCTGTAAAGTGGGAACTAACCCAGGGCTTTAGGAGGGATGTCCTAAGGATCAACTGGGTGGCTTGAAGAGTAATTACTGCTTTTATTTTTTATGGAAACACTGAAGTGCGCTAGTTACCAGGGAAGGGGGCGCGGGGCTGTTTACTTGTATTTTATGAAAGCCATGGTGCAGGCTGTATGTGCTCCTTTCACAGATAAGACTCACAAAGACAAAGGAAACGTCTTTCCCAGGAAACAGTGGGGCTGAGTCAGCGCCCGGGCTGGGGCCTCCACCTGCCTGCTTTCTCTACTGGCCCCGCCAGGTCACATTCGCGCGTGGAGGCTGCGGGCGCCTCACCGACCTGTCCCCCGTGGCTGTTTGAGCTCTCCAGGCTGGGCAGGACCTGGCGCAGGCCTGGTGAACACGCACAGTAGCTGGGGCCACCCCTGTGTCATACTGACCAGGAACTTCCCCAGAAGGTCCATCCTGGAGTCCCTTCCCCCCAGGCCCATTCCTGGGAACTAGTCTGGCAATGAATGGCCTCTTCCCTGTGGGCTTTGATACCTGGAAACTCCTGAAAAGACAGGAGACAGGTGAGTGGGTGACAAAAAATTCAGGAGCGTGGGCCAGTGCATTCTTGGGCTTAAGGCCAAGCAGGTTTCAGCTTCCCCAAGACCAAGGGGTCAGCCAGAGGGCTTCAGGAGAGAGCTGAAGCTGATGAGCATTGGCAGAGGCGTGGGGGTGCCCAGGCTGTCCCAGCTGGCCTGCGGTGAGCTTGCCCAGGTGGAAGGAGGAGAGGGGACATTCAGAGTGCTGGTGGGGACTGTCAGCTGGCCATGAAGAACAGCTGTAATGATCAGCTTGCGTGTGACCTTGGGCAGACCTCTCCTGTCTCTGAGCAGTGAGCTGACCCTAGCCCCCTCAGAGGAAATCCAGGCTGATCTGTAGCAGGTGGGTTGAACTAGGCTGGGTGCCACTGTGGCATGTCCTTCCAGCCTGCCGGCTGGCGGGCAATGACCTCAGCTGCTGGAGACGCAGATGCCTCATCCTGGAGTCGCTGCCGCCCACCCAGCTGCCAGCTTGGGCTGCCCTCAGAAGAGAGATCGTGGCCTCCCTTTATCGGGAAGGATCCCCTCCCAGGCTGGGCTTTGCCCTAGACTTTCCAGCTCGTGGTTTCAGCACGGACTGTTCTGCGGCCCGAGTTCGGCCCCACCCCCTTTCAGCCCTGCAGACTCTCAGCCGCGTGGCCTCCCTCCGGCCTCGCACAGCTCCCAGAGGGCCTCTCTGGGCCTGAGCTACAGTTACATTTCGTGTGCCTGGCATGTTTACTAGATCTTATATTATAAAATTAATACATGCAAAAGGAAATCAGTGCCTGTTTCTTGTAACAATACAGATTCCATAAAGAAAAAGTTCACGGCCTGCCTTTCTCCTGCCTGACACCAGTCTCCCTGAGAAACACAGTCATTCCAGTAGCATGAAATGTGTCCGTGTCAGTGACTGGGCAGTTAGCTCCTGTATTTTTCTTCTGGTTTATTTTTTCAGTACTTTCTGTCTAATGTAGCTTTATCTTCCTGTGCAATATGGAACCTCTAGGAAACGCTCTCTGTCCAGCGTCGTGTCCGCAGCAGTGGCCCCTTCCCTCACACGTGGGGAATGGTAAACGGACTGATGGGCGAACTGACCGAGGGTGGGAGTGGGTGTCCAGGGCTTCTCAGCGGCAGCTGGACTGCTTCAGGTCTCCCTTTGGTTTTCCAAGCCAGTCCGCAGGCAAGGAGACGAAAGCAGAGAGCTTGGGCCC